ATGTAGTTGGTGTTTGGCTATGGTACTGGTCTGAGTGGAATCTCCATGCTCACACTGCCCTAGAGTTTCAAACTTCTCCCTGTTTCTTCTTTTTATGGTTTTCGAGTCTTTTTTGTTTGTCTATCTCATTTGAAGGATGTGGATTGGCACTACGGTGCAGTAATCCCTCCATAATTAATCTACTATATTTCCACCCTGTTTTAAAATTACAAGCTGCGTGAAGGATGAGATAGTGATGTACAAGCTTAAAGGAAGCTTCCATAACTAGGTGATGAGCTATTGAGCATACAGCTGAGTTTACACCTTCCCTCTTACTCTCCAGGTCTTGGGCTGCAGCAAGCTTTTTCTGTAGAAACTGCTCCATGTTTTGTTAGGCAGTTTTCTTGTACGTTATTTTGAGGATTTTCTATAGTTTCTATTGTTTTTGGATCTCTTTATTTGTGTTGTCATAGTGGATGAGTTTATTTCTCTTTAATATAATAGTTTATTTGTGGTAAAAAAAAAATTGATTTCATATTAATGATTGAATCTATATTGTTCTGAATGATTATTTTTTACTTGAATTATATTCCTAAAAAATCATCATCTATTCTGTTTTAATTGTACTTGCAGTTTATATCAAAAATACACGAGATCTTTTGTGAGCGGCCCAAAATTATTAACGAGTTCAAAATCTGTCTTGAAATGCTCAAGAAAAGCATTGAAGAAAATTCGAAGGTATGATCAATGATCTTTACTTTATGCACTTTCTATCAAAACTAGGAGGAGATGGATTGATGATCCATGAAATAATAGCAATTACAAATAAATGCAATAAACATTAACTTCAAAGTCTTAGATAACCTTTTTTTTTTTTTTTTTGAAAATAACTACAGATCAAGAAACCCTAGATCCACCATAATAACAGTAATATCAAATATAACTTTTACTCCCATAATTGCATGAATCATATTTTATAATATCTCTATCACTTACTGTTGAGTTACCACCTTCCCTCTTACCCTCCAGGCCTAGGGCTGCAGCAACCTTTTTGTTCAGAAACTGCTCTATGTTTTGTTATGCAATTTTCTTGTATGTTATTTTGAAGATTTTCTGTAGGTTCTACCGTCTAGGATCTGTTTATTTGCGTTGTAATAATGAATGAGTTTATTTCTCTCTAATATAACAGTTTATTTGTGGGAAAAAAATGGTTTCAATATTAATTATTGAATCTATTTTGTTTTGAGTGATTGATGTTTACTTAAATTATATTCCTAAAAATTCCTCATCTCTTCTGTTTTAATTGTAAATGCAGTTCAAACTCAAAGTAGACAAGGCCATTTGTGGGGAGCCCAAAATTACTAAAAAGTTAGAAGCTAAGTAAAGAAAAGAACTGAACAAAGTTCAGAGGTATGATCAATGATCTTTACTTTATGCTCTTTCTACCAAAACTAAGAGAAGATGGATTGATGATCCATGAAATAATAGCAATTACAAATAAATGTGATAAACATTTAATTTCAAATATTTGCCATGACCTTTTTTTTATTTTAATTTGTTTTTTGTTTGTCAAATGTAGAAGTAAAGAAGCCTGATGAAGATTTCATAGTGCAATTATCTATGTCTTACTTCCTTCCAAGTTCCAACCATGCAACTATTCTTTTTCGGCTTAATATAAAATGTATTGTTATATCACAGCCCTAAGTACCCACAAATGGGCCCTGATTCTGCCCCTAAGCCACACATTATGTGCATGTTTTCAAAAGTGTTGGACTATTTTATGTTCTCCTTCTACCTGCTCTTTATCTGAATCTTTTCAACTTTCTCTCTCTCTTATTTCGATCAGAATGATGAAATAGACGAATTATTGGACAAGGATACTTTTCATTACTTGTGTGACCTTGAAATGTGGATGGGATATTTGGCAGGTATGGATATATTTAATTTGCTGCATTATTATAGTTTTTGACATTCTTCTAGTAAGGTTAATGTAGGGTAGGTCATCCTTTTATTTTTTATTTTTTGGAAGACCTATCAAAAAACTCGTATTCTAATTGATAGTTTCAAAAACCAACCGTTGGATGAAAATTTTATTGATTTAGATCATGCATGTCAATTTTCATATTGATTTAACACTTATAACTTTTTCATCAAAAAAACTCTATTTATTGATATATATGTAATAGTGTTAAATTTGATGTAATCAACAAAGTGATTAGACCTATTAGAACGATCTTAAAATTAACTTGCATGATCTATATAAACAAAACTTTCGTTTCTACAGTTGCTTTTTGAAAATATTAATTTAGAAAATGAGTTTTTAAATAGATCATCCAAAAAAAAATTTAGGAGGATGGCTTGAAAAAGCACTTTTTTCTCCTTCTAATTATGGAATATTATTGTTTTAACCATTTTGGGTATATATTTGGAGTTAGTAACTTAGTATTATAGTAGTTTGAACTCACAAGACTTTAATTCTAAATCAAGATTTTTAAGTTAACAGCTGAACATGGTCAAATTCTAGCATGTTGGTTGCTGTCTTAATTAATTGTAGTGGGCTAAGTCTTTTCTTTTGAATCTAACAGAAATAGGCAACCCATCTGAGCCACCTAATGCTGCTGCTGGATCCTCTGGCTCCCCACACAATGAAGGGGTTTTAACTTTACCTTGATCCTACTTTTATCTAGTTTCTTATGGGACATGTCACATGGATGATGCATGTTTATGTTTATGTTGGCTTATCGTAGGTATGCATCAGAGTAGTGCACAGGAAAAGCTTAGAACAAGAACAACAATAATTTGATAAGCTAAAGCACGAGTTTGGGATCACATATAGCTATAAATACATGCTATAAATGAGAGTTAAACAAAAAGGGTGCAAACATAAACACCGAAAGCAATCAATAAGGATAAACTAAATGGTTATGGAGTCCACTGTCCACTAGTAAGCATATGATCTGATTACGTGTATACAGAATATGAGTTTGCCGTTGGGCTATGGTGCTGGTTTGAGTGCAATCTCCACACTCGCACCGCCCTGGAGTTTCAAACGTCTCCTCGTTTCTTCCTTATATGGTTTTCAAGTCTTTTTTGTTTGCCTATGTTATTTCAAGGATGTGGATTGGCATCATGGTGCAATAATCCCTCCATAGTTTAATTTCCTATACGTCCACTCCGCTTTAAAACAAGCCAAGTGAAGGATGAGGTAGTAACGTACGAGCTTAAAGCCAAGTGAAGGTAATAATTCTATTTTTAAGTGTTTTTGAGATTTAAGTTTTCTAATTTTTAAATTATCTAAAGATTTAAAAGAACGCCTTCGTATTTAGCGACGAGGAAATTCTGGTTATGAAGTTTTCTTTCTAACCATGGCATAAATTCAAGGTAAAGTAAAAAACCGGAAAAAAAAATAATAAAATGGTTAAGGGTTAAATCTTAATCAACAAAAATTGGCCAATCTCAACCCTTGTACATGTTAAGAAATTAGAATCACCTTCATCATGGTCTGACCTTTTTTTTGTTTTTCAAACATGGGAAAATTAGGGGAATTTTTAAAAATTTTCAAGTCATTAATCGAAATAAAACTCTCGATTAATAGAATCCAAACACTTAGATTTTTGAAACGAACAACTAAATTCGATGAACAGGTTCCTTCATCATGTTCATACTTACATGGTAAATGGGGAAAGAATGGCATGAGGGTGCAATCACAACTTTATGCTATTATATTTGAAATTTCTTTTGCGTTTCTCTTTTCAATAAGTTTCTAATTTTTTTTAAGGCGCTCAAAGGTGTTTATAAGTAAATTTTTATATATTTTGATATTTATTTATTTTTAAGTATTTTTAAATGTATATTTTATATTAATTTAATACATTTAGTTTTTTAATGTTAATTATAAAATTTAAATTTCACCTACAATATTAGTAATAATCATTGGAACTTTTAATAAATCATAGCAAAAAACCAAAGTAATAAGGCTTCATTTGATGGTAGGTTTCGTTTAGTTTTTTTTTCACTAAAAATATATAAAATATTAATTAAAATTAATAAAATATATAAAATAATAATTAAAATTAATTTTTTATAATAAATTTATATTTTTAAATGCATTGCCCTGGGAAAATAATAAATTAATTATTTTCTTAATTTCTTGACTAAAGAAGAAAATTAATAAGACTGCATATTAAACTAATACAAATGGACATAGTTATGGTCATCCATATTTTAAAAAAAAAATCTTGAGTTTAAGTCTTATGAATGACAAAATAGGTGTTACGACAACTTCTCTCTTATGAAATTTGACCGCGACTTAATTCTGAATTAATAAAAACTCAATATGATTATCAAATAAGAGGAGGTCAATAAAATAATAATAATAATAAGAGTGCCCGATACTCCCTCCAGAGAAAATCACGGTAGCATCTGGGCCTTATAATTTGGACACTCAGATCCGGGTGCATCGGAACGCCATTGTAACTAGGCTCGGTCCAAAAATCTTTGACACCCTGTTGAACCCAAACACAAAAATGCGCCCAAACTAATGGTAAGTATTTTCAAATACAGATAGGATGTTAATTATATTTGATACTTAATTTATAAATTTTTAAATACAACTTTTTAAACTTGTTACTTATCTAAATAATTGAAGACTTATACTTGATAATTAACCCAACATATATCAAGTAATTTGTAGACACATACTTACATACTTAGTTTGGGAAAAAAATAAGTTTAACTACTATTATTACGTATATTATGTATTTAATTTAGATTTATTATTTATACAAATTATTATTGTTGCATGTATGATTTATTTGGCTTATAAGCCTAATGTGGCTATCTTCATCCTCTCACAACCATTTCATTCAATGCACTGAACATGGATGGTGGATCAAGTAACTTGGATGGAATGAGTTGAAGTATGAAACTAATATATTGAAACTTCAATATAACATATCAAATCAACTAGGATTATTCTTTAATTCGAATTGGCATATATAACTAGCTGAAGAACATGGGTTCTTCAGTTTTTACTTTTAATTTAGATAATATTCACATTTACCACAAGTGGTAGCCTGCAGACAAGCTGATCAAAGTCTGATGCTGCAGTTTCAAAAAAGTAAATGTAACCTACACTTACAAAATTTTCATTCTCTCCAGTTGCTTGAAAGACCCCAAAAACTGGAACAGAACTATCCTATCACCCTGCAATGTGCTCAATGGATGGCAGCAATCTTGACCATGTTGAAGCCTGGGCCACCGTATCTGCCTTTTGGCAAGATGAGAGAATGTGTACACCAAGATCATCTAAACCAGGACAACCATGTATGTTTAAACCATGTTCATTAGCCAAGTGTAAGAGACAGATAAAACACAAATGGGGTGAAATATCCTCCTTTAGAGCAGCTTGGCAATTGATGGTATTGACGACCATCTAAAATCAAACCCAGAAGAAGGGAGAAGAGAGAGAGAATAAAAAGAAGAAAGAAGAAGGATGAGCAGGGAAAGGAAGGAGGAAGGTTGATAGAGAATGAGGAGGCAAAATTGTCAAAGGAGGAAAGAAGGAAGAAGATGAACTTTGAGAGAGAAAACCCATATCTGGGTTTGCAAAAGTAAGGGAAAAGGAAAGGTGAAAGAGAGAGAATTTTTTTTTTCTAACATGTATGAAAAAAAAAATGATATCATTATTTTTAAATTAAATAAATATGTCAACTCATAAAAAACGATGGCCAACCATTTTTTTTTTCAGGTCATTTGTTAAGAAAAAAAGAATTGATTTACTGGTAAATTAGCATGTCACTTGTCCATTTACCATTTACTTGACAGAAGGACTGTTTTGATATCGAAAATAAAAGTTTATGGATAATTTTAATATTTTTTAAAGTTAAATGACAATTTTGATGGCAAAGTGAAAAGTTGAAGGACCAAAATGATATTTAAATAATAAAAAAATTTACTAAACAACTTTTTCTTCTTGCAAATATTTCTATACAAAATTTTATTAAAAACTTTCAGTTTCTTAAAAACAGTACTTTTATAACAGAATTTTTCTAACGAGACTTTTATTCAAAACTCCAACTAGAGCAAACGGGCTTTAAACCTTGAATTAAATGGCTAGTGGGCTCAAAATTTGCATTTGAGTTGGATTTGTTGGTTTTTCTTGATGAATTTCACCCCTAATTTTTAATTTCTTCACGTCCATCCCTTTCTTGCGTTCTTTTTCCAATTTCTTCACAAAATTTTCTCTTTTTGCATATAACACTTGAAACAAAATAAAATATATGTTACTTAAAGAGAAGAGAAAATTTCATATTTTTATATTTTATTTCAGATTTTATAAATTTTTATGATTTTTGATTAAATTTGTAATATTATATATATATATACATATACATATTTCATAAAAAATCTAAATGAATGGAATGAAAAATCAAGTCATGACAGGTGAGAAATGTGACCAGCACATGTTTGAAAGACAACATAGCCTTGCAGCCCTGTTGATAAAAACAAGCATGTCAATGTGATTTCTTATACCAGATGGTAAAGTTTATCATGATTGTTAGCACTAGACTGCTGTTAGAATTAAAGAATGGATGTGTTCACCAGTTCAGAAACTTCCATAGAATCTTGCATGCGGTCCCAAAGTGTCTCGTTCAATGCATGTACGTCAACTTATTTAGAAATTTTTTCATACTGAACTTCAATTTTATTCACCTAGAATTGTTAAAAAAGGGGGAAGTTATCTACCATACTAAGTGGTAGTTTGTCGATTAAATGGTCAACAACAAATAAATTTGTGAGCCCAAACATACACAAAACAAATTCACATACATAACACGTTCAAAATTTAATAATAAAGTAGAGTTCCATTGGAATGTTAATATCTACCATGATGAGATATATTGTTTGAGTTCTTTTTCTTGAGAAGGAAGGGGACAAAAAAGGAACACTCAACATAGAAGTAGCCAAATTTCCCCTGCATAAATCTAACCATTGTTCTTTCTGAAACTTTCAGAGACAGATTCTCGTCCATTATAATTGTTTTCTACCAAATAATACTATATATACTTTTTGGTAAAATAATACTACATAGAATACCAATAGGAAAAACTATCTTATTTCATGACCATATGCTGACAGGAACAGACAATGCTGAATGGTGAAATAAATGGTTTTAATAACAAAGAAAGAGTCAAAGGTGAAGGGTTTATAGAACAAAAACAAACCTTGTGAGGCTAAGTCACAAATTCATAAGAATCTCTCACATCATCGTGAATATATCCATCATTGTATTGGCTGCTAACTCCACTTTCATCATCCCATGATGGCAACTCTTCTTCTAAATCATTGTCTTGTTGCCATGAACTATAATCTGGTAAAACAAACAAACTCTTAAAAGTAACATCAATGAACCCCAAGAGAAGGCAAACAGTGCTTGTTTCTTGGATAAAACTTATACCTGAATCTTTTCTTCTACTCTTCCCTAGGAACTAGAATCAAAAAGGCATTTCATCATTAACCACCTCAGCCAACTTTAAGAAAAAGAAAAAAAAAATGATACATCAAAGTGATAACATAAGATTGATCATCCGGAGCCGTTTGTACGGCCCAAGGTTTTGGTGATCTCATCTGAGTCGATTTGGTATCTAAAATCATAAAAGACCCAAGCCCAAGTCACCTGTCAGATTAATAAAAAAACATGAAGTGTGAAAACTGAAGTATGAGCCCAATAACCAAGCTAGCAACCCAACCCTGAATGACCCATCAAAAGAAAGGTTTAAGGTTCAATGAAAGCCCTCTTTTCTTTGTATAAATAAATTTGCATTATCAGAACATTAGGAGGAAGAAACAATTTGACGAGATTCTCCCCGCAGTAATGGCAGTCTTTGGGAGTGTGTTGCTACAGAGTGCTCTATTTGCAGGTAGCATCAAAGACTTAGGATTTTTGGGGGGAGAAAATATATCAGGCATTTCATTGTCCAAGGATTTCACGAAATCAATATCAACATCCATCATGTTTTTGTTCTTAGGTCTCTTAGCAGCAGAAGCTAATCTACTTTCTGCAGCAGGAACATCACCAGAACCCACAAAAATCACAAAAGATAAATAGTCAAACTAATTTAGATGCCTATGACAGAGATAAAAATAATAATAATAATAGTAATGAGTAATATCACCTCCATGCTGTTATTTACATTTGAACTTCCAATATTTCCAATGATCAGGACTGGCCCAAGTATTCCACAACAGGAACCCTTGACACAGCACCGCAGCAATATCTTCAAATTCCTCCTGAAGATTGGCTTCATATGATGCATGTGAACAATTCTCCTACACATAAACCAAGAATACTTCGGTGATCATTCATATTTCTTTCACCTCTTAGTAACTTAAATACCTCATGCAGGCCGTGAAATGTAGGACCATAACTGAATGTCTCATTCACAACACTTGACACTTCATCATGATCAGAGGTCCAGGTTTCATGGTCCTCAACTGAGTTGTTACCCAGGTTGGCTTCCTTATCAAATGCATCTACTAGGATATCAAAATTCTCGCTTACATGGAATGTTTGCTCTAATCTTTCATTATCTTTACTGAAATGGAATACAATGTCCCTGAGAGTTGGGGAAATTGCATTCTTTGTTTGCATGTTCATCACCATGTTCTGAGTCTCAACACATTCTGTAAATAGACCAATTTCAACGGCTGTAACAAAAAGAAATGATGGGAAATAGAAACAAACTCCAAACACTTGGGCACAAACTTGGAGAGGTTAGAATGCCCTAATCAGCAATGGCACACCTTCTGCAAATGAGATATCAATCATATCCAAGGAGTTATTTTGAACAGAACACGATTTGCACTTCCCAGGCACTTCAAAAGAATCAAAGAGTACCCTACAACCTTGATATACTCCAAGATTATTCAATGGAAGGCCTTTTACCCCACTTTCATCAAATTGTGCAGATGTTTGTTGATATAAAGGATCTGCTAGAAATGCAACTAGAAAACCATAAAAACAACTCCAAAATGAGATAATCAAATAAGAGAAAGTCCAGATGACATATTTAGGTTATGCACTAACCCTCAAACTTCTTTGCACTAAGAGCTTCAAACGAGCACTCCAGTGGTGACAGTGGTGAGATCTGCAAAAATCACTGATGTTAGTCAGACTTAAATGCACCAAGGCAACGTAAACTAGAAAAAAATCAACTTTCTTCTCAGATTCTTTCCAGTACGACGGCCCTCCATGCTGTTATTTACATTACCACCCTCTTAGTGCATCTCTGTCACCAAACCACTATGTTAGGAACTGAGCAAAGGAAAAAATCCCTATGTGCAATAGAGCACTACAAGAAAATTATACCAAAATTTACAAGGTATAGAAACAATTCTCTCTCCAGCGAAACAGACTTGAGTAAATGCCACAACTCACAAAGCGGTTATTAAGAAAAAAAATTTTTATTCTCAACATTATCATACCATGTACATCTTCTTGCCCTACTCGATTGATCCCACTTAGGACCTTATAGGCCTCAGCATGCACAGCATCCACTCTGACAGAGTAAATTTTCACGCCGGCTTCCAGAGTGCAACTTGCCTATCCATCAAACTCTCCCATAAGCACTTAAAACACTAAGACATAAGCATTTAGTACAGCCATTGCATATAATTATTTCATAAAAGTTGTTCATACCCTTTGGAAATTAGTCTGTGAATCAGCTTCTGTAGCATCAACTTTGATGATATCACTAAGATGATCAATAAGCTTCAACTCCCAAGTATTCTTCTGGTTTATTTTCTAAAAAATGTATCCAAGAATAGTAATAATCAATTGAATTTCCAAGCACAGATAAAGCATTTATTTAAAATTCCCGTAGAAGGGCAAAGGAAACTGACATTTTCGCTGGCGAGTTTAATGCAGTTCTGGAACAAGTCGATGATTTGCTGTTTGCTGAGACAATAATCGGAAGGCGGTGAAGGAGGATTGGTTACGGGGGCTGTTGGGCGGATTGCAGCGGCGCGTGCGGCTGCGCGTGCCTGTGCGCGTTCGAGTTTGTCATCATTGGAGCGCAAAAAAAAGGCAGTGGTCGGAGAGTGAAGACGGTTTATCATTGTCGCTCTCTGCCTCGGACTTACTGCTTCATCCATGGAGAGGAATTCGAATAAAAATAGGAAAAGAGGGTGGAGACGGAGAGGATGTGGATTCAAAAACTTAAAGCCGCGCAAGCCCGGCGAGAAAAACCGTCCAATGTCCCAACAAAAAACACAAGGGAAAATGTCAAGGGTGGTCACCCAACTTTAATAAAATCAACACTATGGGATCTTCTTTTTTTTTTTTTTATGGTAACTCCAGGAGATTAATTTAAGTATGGGGTTTGTACTGGTTTAGTCTGCATTTTCATTTATCCTCTGTGGTCAAGAAAATGAAATCTTAACTAAATTGATCGTCATCTTAACTTAAAAGCTTATGTGGTGTCACACAAGCTTTTACATGAAATTTTGTCTATGAAACTAAATAATGGTTGATCAACAAAATGACCAATTAAGACTTATATTTACAATGTTGAACTGTCGTTACAGCTGTAAATTTTTTTTATCCTTTAATATCTTTAAAATATATAAAATATATTTAATATATTTAATATTTATTTTAATTAATATTTTATATATTTTTAAAATAAAAAATATATAAACTAAAGCATCAAGCGCCCTGCACTTCGGGGCCTACTAACCCCTCTTTGCAAGACGTGCTTAGAACTACTAAAGCCAGGGTTCTAATCCCAAGTCCCATTTCTCCTTTCATTGAAAAAATTTCCTATTGTTCAAAAAAAAAAAAATACTTGTAAATACACCAAACCAGAGATCCTTCTTCAGTCCGCATCTTCACTTCGGATGTACCTGCAAAGCCCCGAGGTGGAACTCGGGGTAGACACTCCGATGCTTAAGTCAGCAATAATCGGGGCTACCTTTAGGGTGGAGATAAAAAGAGCTTAAGGTTGGTTTCAATTACCTTTCTGAGATGGCCCTTGAGGGGTATTTATATGTTCCAATGGAGAACCCGTGTTGGCCTGCCAAGCGAGATGTTCGGGACCGGGAATTTAAGACATATTCAGGTATGGGCGTACGCACCATAACTATTGCACAGCCTGTCATAAGAAATCAGGTGCGTGCCTGTTCACGGTAACTATTATGCAGCTGGGTTTACTTTTCACTTCGATTGTTGAAGAATTATTTAG